AATGAAGGAATATACTAAATATTTACTCGATGATGGCGCGTCAGTACTGTCAAACTAAATTTTTGAATGATTATGAAAGCCGTGGCATCATTCATAGAGGTGAGAACCCATTGAACAGATGCATATTGGCTGACTGGTCCAATTTGATTTCATTTCACATTGTCTCTCATGTACAAATCATTCAGTATTCGTTGTTGCCTGAAAGACGTGGTCAGCTTTTCGGATTCATCATAAATTTTGTGCTCAAATTTCAAATTCAGATTGAGTTATGCACCGCCAATCGGGCAGCGTGTTGTTGGTCATCACGGTGACGTTGTTGATATCATCGCAGTCGAGGGCACAGTTTAATTGCGGTGCATTCGGTGGCGGTTGTACATCACCTGTGATACAGCCGCCGTGCGGTGGTGCCGGGGGTGGGGGTGGTGGATTCAATCCAGGTATGATTCAACCGAATATGGCGTTGAATAGACGAATCGCGAATTCGCTCTCGCAATCCGGCTGTTCTTCGGGTGGAATTCAACCGTACTGGATGGGTGGTGCGGCATCACAACAACAACGACAACAAGGAGCACGCACCTTTATCATATCACCGAATCAAATGCCGTTTATCGGTGGAGGAGGAATGGGTGGTGGTATCGGAGGTGGTTTCGGTTTAGGTGGTGGTGGTGGTGGTGGAATGGGAGGCGGAATGGGAGTTGGCGGACAATCGGCGTTTGGTAATATGATTTGCCAAATGATACCAAGCACATCGTTTTGCAACCAAGGTTAGTCACCAATAGTTCAGTACATAGCTTCCTCAAATTTTTTTCTTACAACTACATTGCTGTTTAATTTACGCATTATCATCATGCGCTTTATGAATGAGGAAAGTTTCAAACAATTATTAGACCTGTGAGTTCATAGCAAATACACATAATCGTTATTGATTCATCTGTCGCTTATCGTGTTATCGCTTATTCATTGGTATTGTTCATGCTGTTTAGTAAGTAATAATTCAATTTGATGCTGTTGAAATGATAGAAATTGCGATCTTGTCGTTGAAGGCTAACTTTTCTCGTATGGACTTGAGCTGATAATCGAACGAACACAGTTACTCTTGTTACGTTCGCTTTTGTATGAGTGTATCTGAGTAAAATGGACTTCAGCAATGAGCCACAACAAAAAGCTAAGGAATGTTGATGCCGAATGATTCAAGCAAATGCTATATGTTCATCATTTTAGGAAATCGCCCATATAACGGAATGTACGGACGAAAGAAGCGATAGGACCGTCGTGATCAAGCGAAATTTCAATCGTGAACACTGCTGCCATTATCGAATTGATGCGTATATCTGAATATATCGATAAAACTTTGATTTAATTTGATTTAATCGAATGAAGTATAGTGAATACTTTGAATACCATTGTTTGTGCTCTCTTATGTGCCTCTGTGTTCGTTTACTTTAAATCGCTTTTATGATAAACTTTCTCATGACAATAATGATAATAATAATGATAAATGTTTTTTTCTAATAAATGGAAAAGAGTTTTTTTTGCTTCAATGGATAGAAAGCTGATGTGATTGATGTGTTCGGAATATCAGCTGGTTGGTTAGCTAAAGCAATCTGCAAGAGATGAACTGCTTATCGATCAATCAATTGTGATTGATCGTCGAAGAGAGATCACCTCGGATCATAAGTGAATGATTTAAAAAAAAAAACGAAATTCATTTAATTCCGAGCAAGATGTCTGTTTTTCGAAACTTTTCATCTTCATCGACATTTCCATTGCTTTCGAGATATGTATTGCTTGAGTTTTCACGTCATCAATGAGAAAAAAAGCAGTTTTCTGAAATCTTGCAAAGAAAATTGCAAAAGCTTGCAAAAATTTCATTTAATAGCAACAACAATGGTATCATTTTATCGGTTAATCTTTTCAGAAAGCTGTTGTGCTAGATAAATTACATGTATTACCTGTATTCTGGTAATATTTTGCATTCAGGCTAGAGAAATACTATTATAAAAACGCTGAATATTTTGGAAAGAACAAATTTCGAGATGAGGAAATTGATACACACACACACACACTGAATTCGGTTAATGCAGCGAAATATTATGAAGTCGAATTGAATCATTAACAACAACTGCGATCAGGCATCCATCATTATCAGTAACGAAACAACAACGTCAATTATTGGTGTCATTAACCACATTTGAATAGAATTATTGAAATTTTCGCCACAGTTAAGTGAAGAAATCGTTCGTATTGAATATGTGAACCAAAATTTCGGCCAACAATACAATGCCATGTCGGCCCGGCGATATCATCAAATTTTCGTTTCATATAACTGGCAATCTCATTCTCGATTCCACACTGTTGCAGTGCTTCCATGGTGATCTAAATGCAGAATCAGTGGAAATACTGTTGCTAGATCACTTTATCTCACAATCAGATAAACTGCTCCAAAGTGTCCACTTAATTCTATATCAGCGTATGCTGAAATACTCAATATTGAATCCTTACGCAATCCTCAAAAGCTTCGCACTCTTATTGAATTTTCAAAGCAACGGAACTCCTCTCAGCTTGAATTTGATGAGCGAAAAATTCGAACAAATGCTTTAAAGAACTGATTGTGAAGCAGAACAGAGAAGCGAAGTGTGGTCGTGACCTTAATTGCTTCATTCTGCAATTCTTGACTAAAATCGGTGCCTTCCACATGTACGGACGGTTCGAAGTATGGTGAATGCGAGTGTGGTGAAGATGAGAGCCTTCGACTGGAGCTGGATTTAGCGAGCACTTCCCTGAGCGATATTATGGCCATTGATAGGGTGTATATATGAAAGTATATCTCGGGGATATATGCATTAACTGGAAAGAGTTGGAGATGACTCAAAAAAGGAGCACGCAAGATGAATGCTAACAATAAGATTAGCACCCTTTTGATGAAAACTGACGATAGTTTTGGCTTGAAGAGAACACAACTGATACGTTTGGTGATATACTCATGATGTACATAAGCATAACACAAAGATGTATCTCAGTGGTTTTCACGTTCAGGTGCTCCATTACCCCTTTTGATGATCTAGCAAGCTATAATCGATTGCGTGAAAGGGAAGGAGACGCCTTCATGCAATCGATTATGATTGCATGAAAAGCTATTGTCTAACTGATAACTGATACACACTCACTTCAAACTGATTTAGATGAATTCTCATTCTTTTCAGACGTGTT